TGGAACATCGACATGCAGGATTCCAAAAAACTCTGACCTCCATGAGGTATTGAGACATACCAGAGTTATAGTCTGGGATGAAGCGCCAATGCAACACCGTCATGGGATTGAAGCATTAGATCGTACATTGTGGTGTCATGCACCAAAGTTGATTGGTAGCATGGACAGGTGTTAATAACAAAGTGAATATTCAAAAAAACTCGCCTTTGCGCCACACAGGCACAGTGCCATGTGGAATAGCAATCCAGTCACGCTCACCTTTGCTTTTCCATTTGGTACTTTCTGCATTTCTGCATTTCGGCAAATTTTCGCGTCGCCACTGGCTACACATTGCATTGCGCCCTCGCTTTTGTTGTTTCCTTCACTTCCCTTCCTTTGCCTAGCCCCACCATGGGTCCCTTACTCTCGTGTTTATTCTCACCCAACAGTTGTTTCTGGATCCCCATTTTAGTTCACCTCCCCATCACCTCCAGCCTCCTCCTCCTCATCTTCTTTGCTCCCCCATCATTTCTGATGTCACCACTTCCTATCTGCTTCCGTTGCCGATCCGTTGACTACCACGTGCCACTGCTGATATCAGCAAGCCCCAGCGGCCGGTTCAAATAGGGCAACAGGTCCATCTTTATGACGTTGATCTACCATCATATACTATCAAAACATCGGTCGCTCGTCTTGCCTGGTTGGAGCGTGGGTGGGTAGTTTTTGAGCTGGAGAAGGTTCATCCCCTTGCGTCTCCCATGTACATTGTTGTCCCATTCACTTGGGTACACTTATCTTTTGTCCATCGTCTTCACTACAGCTACACCTACCACACGCTGCCTGGGACTCACTTGTTTCAAATTGGGACTACTCCTCTCCCTCCCTCGTTTGATCAGGTGGTCCAACACAACCAGTCCATTGGTAAGGCCATGGAACTGTCGGAATTGGACTAGGTGGTGGACCGGTGGCTCCAGTTTCTTTTTTTTCAACAGAACATTCATTTACAGTGTGATTATTTTTGATTTTTGAATCATTTTTATGGACACATATTTTTTAGAATGCCTGACTGACAACAAAGGAACTGTGTTGATACTGATAGTGTTTTGCCTTGCCCTTTTTTTACTGTATCTTCCCATGACATCATGATTTTCCTGCTCTCTTTTTGCTATTGGACTTTATTTTATGGCTGTACAAACCTGTGGCACTACTCACAGCATTCATTGTTCTATCCCTTTCGTTTCCTTTTTTTGACAATCTTATCCTGTACTACCCACGCAGGATTTGTCAGCGTACATTCCTTCCTTCATGTTCCTTCTCATTCCCTTTGCACAGCTATACTGTGCATAGCCTACTTTTCTTTCACTATATAAACCCCTGTATTTTACCTTGTAAAAAAAAAACAAGAACTCAAATCCAGACTTCTTCTCTACTCTCAAGTTCACTACTCTGCTACTTGTGATCCAGTGTGGTCACAACACTTCCCACTGTTACTACTGTTAACTGCTGTCATTGTCACTTGTCACTTTTGAAAGTGATTGTCATCCCCTTCGATTAGAGTCCTTCTGAGTACTACAGTCTGTGCGTCAGGAGCCTGCTATCACTGGGAACCTCGTTATCTCGTCATTCTCAAACCTACCTTGTGCTACAATTAGCAAGGTAGTGCTCGTCTATACTTGCCAGAAAGCCCCTATTTTTTTAGATTCCAACTATCCCTCCTCCTCAAAACCCACACTCATACATCTCTGGGTTTTACTTTGAAGGATTGTTATACGTACCACCCCAGGAACTGTGAGGAATCAATTTTTCTCATCGCATTGCTGTCATGTCATGGTTAACAGACTTGATCCCTATCACTCCTCTTGCCCTTGGACTAGAGATCACAGCAGGTGTTTTATTACTTTTATCCTTTATCTTCTTATTCTCTATTCACACCTACATCCTATTGTACTTACAATGAAGGAGATTTGTTGTAAACCCTCGGGAAGATATCCAAATGACATAGCAACGACCCAGTGCTATGTCTGGGAATACTTCGGAGGGATATTGATAAGCGAAGAAGGTTGTGAGTCAGCGCCTTCTCATGGGCTTACTGACACAGCCAATTGCACACTCATTACCAATACGTTTTCTCATACAATTAGTAAATACGATAGATCAGACCACTTTCTCTTTCTTTTCTTATTGGTTAGCCAGCTGGTCAGACCACTTTCTTAGTTCTTTCCTTTCTCAGTCTGACCATCGCCGTTCACTATATAAAGGAGTACATACTTGATGTATTATTCTCTAGTTCAATATTAGTTTGGATTTGCGCTCATACCAATACTCTTCATCCTCATACCCTGATTCATCGCCTTCTAACAAGGACTTGACCAGGCATTGTGCTTTGTTATATAGCTTTGTATTAGTTGCCTGACAGGAACAACCAGACCACTCCACTGTTCTAGGAGGCAAAGCCCATAAACAAGTTCCATGGAATCTGGGAGGATTGTGTGTTAGTTTGTTTTGTGTGTGGTTTTTCTAACAACAATTCTCATCATCAACAGCGGGATATTTTAGATAATCAATTTCCATTTGGAGGCATTACAATGGTCTTTGGAGGGGACTTCCGCCAAACAACACCTGTTGTTCCAAGAGGGTCAAGGCAACACATTATTTCTGCCTCTCTTAGAAGGTCACGACTGTGGACAAATATCCATGTCTGCTATCTCACACAGAACATGCGCCTGGACCGTACTCCAGAAAGTGAAGCCTTTGCTAGCTGGCTCCTGGATGTTGGTGGTGGTTGTGGAATTGCAGGAGATGGAACTATTGAGCTTCCCGCCAACATGCTTATGCCAGAAAACACCATAGACTCATTAGTCAACACTACCTATCCTGGAATTGCAAATGGAGACATAGATGACCATTATGTCCTCCACCGCACCATCTTCTCCGCAAAAAATGATGCCGTTAGCGACCTTAATTCAGCAATCCTCACAAAATTCCCTGGAGAAGAGTTAGTGGCTCTGTCAATTGATAAAGTGGTTGGAGAGGGGCATGAACATTATCCTGTGGAATTCTTGAACTCCTTGCAAGTATCTGGCCTTCCTGAAGCGCACCTCAAACTTGAAGCTGGATGTCCACTTATGCTCCTCCGCAATATTGATCCCCTAAATGGACTCTGTAATGGAACACGCATGATTTTGATAGAGATGAAGAGAAGAGTATTGAAGTGCCGTGTCTTGGGAGGAAAACATGCAGGAAAGATAGCTTTTATTCCACGCCTCACATTGGAACCTTCATCAGAAGAATTTCCCATCAAGCTATCACGTCGTCAATTCCCTGTCCATGTTGCCTTTGCCATGACCATCAACAAGTCTCAAGGTCAATCAGTGACACAGGTTGGGCTGGATTTACGTGTTCCAGTGTTTTCACATGGGCAACTTTACGTTGTATTGTCTTGCTGCACTTCAGGAGAGAGATAAAAGTGCTATTTCCACATGGTTCAAATGACAGATGTACCGTCAATGTGGTGTATCCCGAAATTCTGACTGGATTTATCCGTGACTGGCAAGTAGATTTTTCCCCAATTCTCACCCTTTTTACTAAAGTGTTTTATTCTCAGATCATATTTCCTTTACCATTTCTGGAGTCTCTTTTTTTATTTCTGATCAATTTATCAATGTAGTACCATAGACTTTTTACGTTACAATATATGTTGATGTTTGCAAAGATTCAATGAACCATCTGCTTGATTCAGTATACTGTGCAAGTTTAGGGCAGGCTTATAAGGACATTCAATGACAGAACTGTAAGTCAAACATGCATCATAGGATTCAAAGACTTAACATACATTACAGGCAGCATAAGTTCACTGACTTAACATTTTGATCACTTAACAGTATTATTTTTATTATTATTTATCATATAGCAAAAACGCAGTGTAGCGCGAAAAAGAGGAGTTTGAACAAAATGGAAAGTGCCGCATGGTACAGTGTGTGAAAACTACAGTATAAAGTTAAAGAGGAGAATGAAAATTAAAGGTCCGAAAATTGTGTATCGTAACACTAACTAGCTCATCACAATGATGACATCAGCAAGGTTGTATTGCATCTATTGCTCTGTATATTTCCTATATCAACTATAGAATGATTCCAATTCTGTCATCTCCCCATAACTCAGTGTTGCCACCGCACGGTGACCTTCCAGTTTGGTCCCGAAAAATCATTCTCTAACATTGTAGCCAAAGCACGAGATTGTAACTCATGTTTAACCTTAGCTTATAATCAAACACACACGATACTCTGGTCATCTACATGTGCATCAGAGGTTTCTGTTTCTTCATATTTCTCTCCACTCAAATGCAAAAAAACCACAATCCACTTTGCTAGATCCATGTAAAGGAGTGGTGCGTGTAAAAGAACAGGCATTGACGTCACTGTATCCATTGAAGCGGCTACCGACGTCGATAAAGGTGATTCCGTTTTGTGTTGAGCTTTGTGAAACCCGAAACCCAGGCCTAGGGCCAGAACCTGGCCAGAATCGGGACCATACATAGACAGGGTATCTGTTATTGATGAAGTTTGGCTAATATTTGTAGCGCAAATGGGTATCTGGGTGGAATTTGTTGAAGCAAAGAGGAGTGCGCTGAAGGGTTCTCACGGATGGTGTCTGCGAAATTCATACTCCGCGAAGCTGCGCACCCATTCACTCCCTCGGCGTCATCATCGACTCATCGAGTACGTCGACACTTGGACGAAGACAGTGGATGAAGATTTCTCATGGTTATTCGACGATGTTTTCTGCCGGTAGAGGGGCGAGACAGCGGAGAGTGAGACCGGAGTGGTGGAGGCTGGAACTTGGAGACTGGAGACTTGCGCGGTCGTGCTCAGCGTATCCCTGTGTGGACTGAATGGTGGCTGAACTAGGTCGAGGTTGTGCTGACGTGATAGGGGAGAGAAGGAGCAGAGACGTCATGGCAAGTGACGTCACTTGACCCGCCGTATAAATGCGTTCATGTTATCTGCTAAGCCCATACAACCATGCGTTCTTTCTACCTCTTGACTGCTCTTCTGGCCGTGCACGCCTCCTCGTGGTTTGGCTCAGACCCCGAATATTCAAAGTGGTCCCAGTCCGAACTCACCCACTGGCTCGAATCCCACCAGATCAAGACCCCCTCTTCCTTCTCCCACTCGCACCTCATCGACCTCGTCCAGGCAAACTGGGCCTCTCCTCCTCCCCCTCCCCCGTCCTATGCAGATGCCTCCAAGCAGTGGACCTATGACCAATACTCGCGTGCTCAGAAGTCCTTCTCGGATATCCGTGACTCGTCCTTCGACTCCTGGGATGAATCTCGCCTTCGCGAATTCCTCCTAGATCACGGCGTCGTCGCCCCCGCCGGCCCGCGAGAACAGCTCGTCCTTCTCGCAAAGCAAAAGTTCAGGTCATACAACGATGCTGCCTCGTATTACTCCTCTATCGCATCCGCTACCGCATCTAGCATGTACTCGGGCGCAGCAGATACCGCAACCCAAGTTACGAAAAGTGTTGGAAGTATCGCCGCTCAGGCTACCAGAGATGCTGGTCGTGCCGTCGATGATTCAAAGGACTATATTTATTCAACATGGGACGACAACACTCTCAGAAAGTGGCTTGCAGACAAGGGCGTCGTACAAGCTAAAAAAGCGTCTACCCGCACGGAGTTGCTCAACCTCGTTCGCGAATATTATGCAAAGGCAACCGATCCCATCTGGTCATCCTGGTCTGACTCTTACATCGTACGCGTTCATGACCCCTATTATTCTAATTGACTAACCTTGGTATCACATACAGCGCGATTGGCTTATCTCTCACAACATCGTAAAATCAGATTACGAAGCATCTCGTGACAGCATGTACAAACAGATGAAGGATTATTATTACAACACTTCAGATTCGGTTTACTCCTCCTGGTCAGACAGCCAGCTCAAACAGTGGTGTGTAGACCATGGCCTTGCTAAAAGCGATGCACAAGTTAACAGAGACAAGCTTATGAAACTTGTCGAGTTAGTTCTTATCCTTTCGTCTTCCCTACATCACACTAACTAATCTCCTAATTTTAGGGATAATTATTCCTCCGCATCGGATAGCATCTGGGGTGCTTGGAGCGATAGCGACATGCGTTCTTGGCTAGTCGAGCACGGATACACAAAATCCGACAAGCAGCTCAAGCGTGAGGAGCTCGTAAAACTGATTAATTCAAAGTTAGTAGCTCTCATTCTCATTTACCCTTGCCGCCATTTCTCAAATTTTACCATCATGTTGGCTCATAGGTACAATGACGCTTCGCAACGCAGCGCTACCTACCTTGTCTGGCCGGATGCCCGACTCAGAGCATACCTGCGTGAACAAGGTGTATCCGACAACGCCCTCCCCACGTCCAGGCCAGGTCTTTTGCGTCAGTCTCCCTTCTTTCTGTGCTCACTATTTGTGGCTAATTTGTGTACCACTCCGCTCGTTCCTTTGCATTTCTCTTTACGTCACATCCAACACTTGCAGAGGAAGTGCGCATTAGATGGGTACAAACGTCGACGCGCGCCGAGACTTTGTATAATAAACTGAAGGAGATTATAAATGGAGGCGTGGAAGCTGCAGAGGAAAAGTTGGCTAGAATATTTGAGGTGAGGCTCAAGTTGCTCGGTTCTTTTCTGGCCCTCGGGTTATTGGCTGCTATCTGCTACCAATTTGTTCGTCCACACGCTTTTATACTCCTAACAAAGCTCTAACTATTTGCCGTATCGTTTAGCTCTTGAGTGGCACGTCTCATGATCCGATCAAATGGGGACAAGAAAAGGCGAGTGACGCACATGAATATGCTACTGAGAAGGCAGACAAGGGCAAGGGTTGGGCGTCGTGGGGCCAAGGAAAGGCACAGGAAGGATACGATGCTGCTGGCGAAAAAATGCAACAGGGAAAGGAATATGCACGAGAGAAGACGGGGGACGCACGGGCCTATGCAACCGAAAAGGTAGACCAGGGCAAGGGCTGGGCGTCGTGGGGCCATGGAAAGGCGCAGGAAGGATATGATGCTGCTGGCGAAAAGGCCGAACAGGGCAAGGACTTTGCACGAGATAAGACAAGAGAGACAAGGGATTATGCGAATGAGAAGAAGGAGAGAGGTAAGGGTTGGGTGTCTTGGGGGGGTAATAAGGCGCAGGAGGGATATGACGCCGCTGGGGAAAAAGTGGATCAGGGTAAAGGCTTTGCAGGAGAGAAGGTAGAGCAAGGGAAAGGGTATGCGAAAGATAAGGTGGATGGTGCGAGAGACTATGCGGGGTCGAAGGTACAGCAGGGAAATGAAGCCAAGGATACTGCGTGGTTGTGGGGTGGTGAAAAGATGAAGGAGGGTGGTGAAAAGGTGAAGGAGGGTGGTGAAAAGGTGAAGGAGGGTGGTGAGAAGGTCAAGGCGACGGGGTCGAAGGTAAAGGGCGAATTGTAAGGTGTAGGGTGTGATAATTCCCGCCCTGTCAAAGGTTGCAAAGAAGGAGGAAGTTATTTTGCAAAGTTTACGCAGGAGTTTTCAACGATTTGGACAACATTGTTGGCAGATGAAAGTGTATGTTATTTTTTCAACGGTAATATGTTAATAGTATCATACAGAAAATAGTGGTAGTTGTCTATTGATTATTGTACTTTATCCAATGCATAGTATCTTGCCCATATTCGATCAAATATGCAGCTCAGTTAACTTAGTTAAATAAGTCGTGTTGGTTTTTATGCTATTTTATGTCTTTGCTTAGTAACGATGGACTTGTACATATTCCCTTGCATTTTGCACCTTCATAATTAGGTCAAAGTCTTGTAGATAGACAGGCGGCTAGTACCGCAACCCACGTGCAATGGACGACTGGTTTGCTGTATTATTTTACCGGAGTACCATTCGATGATTCGAATGGGAAGCAACGTGCGTGCTCAGGTGCAGATGGTCATCACCTTCTTCAGCGATCTACACATCAAGTAATCTGACTGCCGTGAAATCACTATCTCCGTTCAAGCTGGTCAACTATAAAGGCGGGTTTTGCGCATCTCCCGTGCTTCATGGCGTGGGCTCTCGAGCTATCGCCTGCTGACCATTTGTGACAGGCAGTTTCTTTCTTGTGGGTCGCCTGACCTCGTTTCTTTGATAATGCACGTTCAATGGAGCCTCGTGTGAGAATCATGCAGTTGTCCTCCAAGTATAGAATGTCGAAGCTGTCGTTGACCTCAGAGCAGTTAAATATGCATAGCTAAGTGTTGTCTTCGCTGTTCTCAGGCCAAGTTCTGAGATCTGAGCCTCCTAAGCAAGCCATGAACTGCCTGCTGAAATTTGCTCCTCTTTCGTTCTTCCTCTTTGTGGGTGCTTCAAGCCCCTCGAGTCCTGATCTTCCGTCAGCGTATACTGTACCTGGCCCTTTCCCGACATCATTGTATGAAAGTTACTACAATGACCCTACTGCTACCTCGGCCCAGGTTCAACCAGTTATCACAGACCCGGTTTCGGTACGACCTTGAATTTTGTTTTTGTGTTTGATCCAGCTTGTCATTTTTTTTTTTGCATAGCATGAGGCTTTCCCTTTCTATCTCACCGATCCGGATAACTTTCCTCAGGTAGGTGTCCCAGAAAATCGACATTTGATTGTTGTATTCTTATATTGAGCTTCAGAATGACACTTGGGATCCCCACCCTTTACCTCCTATAGCCGCACCGTCCGCCCTCCTTCAGCACGCCTTGGCTCAAATCAAGTCGATTGCAGCCAACCCAGCCTTTAATAGTACATGTGCGCAGTGCCAAGCGAGTCTGGAAGTTGCAAAGTTCCTGTCACTTGCAGCCCCTGAGCAAGTCCCGCTTCTGGTAGTAGAACTCTGCGAGTTTTATGATTACTCCTCGACATGTGCTAACCAGTATAGCGTCATTGGGGTGGGCAACTACATCACTCAGGTTCTTGCTTATGCCGACGTTGGGGGATACGATGGTCAGGTGAGTCACGATATGACGTTTTCTTTCATTCTATATATCGAATGAATTTGGATTCTAGAGCATCTGTCATACGTTCTTAAGCCTGTGTCCTGCGCCGCCTACTTTACCTCTTAACCTGACCGAGTGGTTCTCCAAACCAAAACCCGATCCACTTCCTGCACCAAAAACGCCGAGTGGTGAACGTCTCAAGGTTCTTCATGTTTCTGATCTCCATATTGACCCCAGTAAGCTGGATTTTGACTCGAGCAGAATTAGCCCCTGAATACATACTCTTACTTAGGATACTCCACGGGATCAGAGGCTAATTGCAGCGACTATCTATGCTGCCGCACCAATATGTATAATGACGAGAGCCCTGAACATGTCCTTGTCCCTGCTCCAAGATATGGTGCCTATTTCTGGTGAATACTCTCAGACAGTGTCTGTGTGTCATTTTACTCACTAGATGACGCAGTGATGCGCCCTATTCACTGATTACATCTGCTTTTGAGGCTATTCCTCATCTCGCGGGCACAGAAGAGGAAGGGTTTGCATGGACAATCTTCACAGGCGATTTAGTCTCTCATGACAATGCAAATGAGCTGTCAAGGTACATATGGTCTATACTCGTGGATATCCTGGCATGTCTGATACGTCGTTCTCAGAGCTTATGTGAAGTATTCAGAGGTATGGTGTAGCTGATCACCACATGATACTTTCTGACTCGTCACAAGGTGGTCCTCTACGGTTTGTTGAAACATTATTTTGGACCCAGTCCTGTCTACCCCACCCTTGGCAATCACGACACATACAGCGAGTTAGTAACGCTCTAGGTTATTTTCTTTGATACTCACGATCCCTTTCCACTAGGGCTATGACGTCCCCTGATTCTATGGGCGGAATACTGGGGTCGCAGTTCAACTGGTAATACAAAGTTGCATCTTCTGCTCGTATTGATACTAATTTGAATCGTAGGAACTTTGATGAAGTATCTGCACTTTGGGAATATGAGGGCTGGCTTCCAGATAACATAACCGCATTTGCGCGGACTCACTACGGCGCGTATTCGGTCAAGAGATCGGACGGTTTGAGAGTTATATCGTTGGACACCAATTTCTGTTCGTGTTTTCCAGTGACATTATTATGTTGCCTGTTATTAACTTATCGAGTGTTCTTTCATAGGGTACACGTGAGTTCCTCTGAGCCCACCAGAAAGGGGAAAACATCTCATATAATATGATAGGGGAAATTATTTCAATTTCTTTAACATGACAAACCCGGATGCTTCGGGTATTTTAAGGTATCTCACTGACGAGCTACAGGACGCCGAGGATGTCGGAGATCGAGGTGAAATTCTTATATGTTGGCAGCGTTTTGATCGGGAAGCTCAATGCTTTATTTGAACACAAAGTTTGGATCATCGGACACGTGTTGAGTGGATGGGACACCACTGAAGCAACATATAATCCAACCAATCTATGTAAGTGACTGTTGTAGCTACAGTTGGATTAGCCCACTTATCTTTATCTTTTGAATGGTTTTCAGTTTATCAAATGTACGCCATTAGAGTTTCTTCCCTGTACTAACCTAAGCTTGTTGGCTTTGTCCCAGTGTTGATCGATTCTCGCCCCATGTCATTGCGAGTGAGTTCTTTTCATTCATTTTTTACATCTGCATAATCCAACATTGATTTTCAAGATGTCTTCTTTGGCCACACACATGAAGACCAGCTGATGGTGAGACACTTTCGTCATCACATATTAGAGGGATAACTTACTGATTTCTAGATCTTCTACGCAAACAACGGCACTGTCATGAGTGCCGACACAGCACTTGCTACGGCTTGGGTAAATTGTCTCTATGACTCTACAAAAGCTTTCTCCAACCAAATGGTTACTAGATTTGCCCATCTGTCACCCCTCTAACAAACCTGAACTCGGGTTTCCGAGTTTACGAAGTAGATTCCGCTGTACGGCGTTTACATCTTTATTTCACGCACCAAAGCTGACATCAGGGCAGACGTTCGATATTGTTGATGCATACACGTGAGAGGCTTTGGTCTTTGTTGTAGGAAGCCTGATTGACCCGAGTTATATGGGCGCATAGGTGGAAGAGTTCTGTTAATGAATTCCCTGAGCTTGATTCCCAAACCGAGTATGGCCCTACTTATGAATTCGAATATAGCACTCGTGAGGCCTATGGAGGCAGTATCGCATGGGGGGAAAGCGATCCCTTGAATGCGACCTGGTGGCATCTCGTAACTGAAGGTATGCATTCTAACGTCTTGTGCGCCGAAACTTCAAGCTTCAAGTCTGAGGAAATTGGTTACAGCTATGGAACAAAACTCTACACTGATACAGGTAGGCACCAGATAATTTTCTCGCTAGACGCCGGATGACATCTTATTACTCGCCCCCCATAAGACGTTCAACACCTATCAAGGAAAGAGCTCGGCCGAAACAGCACCCTGTACTGGGGAATGCCTGCCAGCTAAGATATGCTATCTTAGGAGCGCTTCTTCGAGTATATCTGCAGAGAACTGCAACCAAGGTTATACATCGGTGCAGTGAAGGTGGGTTGTGTGGTGTAGGTTTATTCATCGTGTGTTGTCTGCGAGAATAGAATGTGAATGGTCTTCTTGTTATGTAAAGAAATGATAGTCAAAATGCTTGCTGTGACCCACGTTGAGACTCGTGCGAGAAGTCAGCGCTAGTCAGCTGCAGTGTGGTGTGGATTGTCACCAATGTCATGGGATTGTATGCTGTTCCATTCGGACTCGTCAGAATAATCGTCGTAGTGCAACACGTTTCTGGAGTGTCTATCAGGACATAATCTATCAGGCCATCCAAATTATCTTGGTCTGTAACCAATCATGCATCATGTTTAGTTCGGCTCCCGTAACCAGCGCTAATCCGTCCATCACGCAACAAGCGAAATAAAATGAAGCGTTCCTTCCCGTGTTGACAATCTGACCACGCATTCGTCGCCTTCTTGAGAATGATGCAAAGCTTGTTGACGAGGCTGCTCTTAGCCTCTGTTTGCTCGAGCTTCTTCCCAATAGCCTCAGCGTCAAACGGAACTATCCAACCATCCAATTTTACTGTCCCAGGTGCTTTTCCGACTTCCGTCTTTTCCGAGTACTACAATTCGCCCACTGCAACGTCAGCGCAAGCTCAGCCAGTCATTTCCGATCCCATAACAGTACGTTTACGAGTATAAACGTGACATATCAACATTGACACACCCTACAATATCCCATATTCATAATTGAAGCATAAAACATTCCCTTTCTCGTTGACAGACCCCAGTAATTTCCAGGTGAGACTCATCTACTAGAATATCATGTGATTGCTGTTCCAATGAATCTACCAGGAGAATGATACCACAGACCCTCACCCTCTGCCTCCGCCAGCTACACCCTCTACATTGCTCGAACAGGCTGTCATTCAGGTAAAATCTATTGCTTCAAACCCAACATTCGGCAACAACAGTTGCGCTCGATGTCAAGCTGCGTTAGAAGTAGCCAAATTCCTCGCTCTTGCAGTACCAGACCAAGGCCCCGAATTCGCTGTGCAACTTTGCGAGTATTTTAATTATTCGTCGACCTGCTCGGTGACCTACGGGAAATACGCTCTTGGTCCAATTCTGACACAGGTAATCGCCAGTGCCGATGTGGGAGGGTATGATGGACAGGTATTCTTAAATTCTGCCGATGTGTACTCGTGCTGCCTCATTTACCGTTACTCAGCTGCTTTGCTCGAAAGACCTTGGCCTATGTCCAGCACCGTGGACCTCTCCTCTGAATCTCACAGGTTGGTTCGCCAAACCAAAGCCCAATCCTCTACCTCCTCCAATACAACCGAGTGGCGAGCGCATCAAAGTGCTACACATTTCTGATTTCCATCTGGACGCCCGTAATTATCGTTACCTCGACTGTACTACAAGGTTCTAATGAGCTGTACTTTTAGAGTATGCAACAGGCTACGAAGCTAATTGCACATCTGGCAGTTGCTGTCGCGAAAACAACTTCAACGTGCAGAGTCCGAATGCGTCTATTTTCCCTGCACCTCGTTTTGGGGCATTCCTTTGGTAGGTTTTGGTCCACATCCTCATCCTGAGTCATTTTAAGCTGTGCAATCGCAGCGATGCACCAATTTCCTTGATTGTATCCGCGTTACAGGCTATACCTGCTGTCGCAGGTACGGCGGAAGATCCTCTCGCATTTACATTGTTCACCGGTGATATGCTTACCCATGACAATGAGAATCAGCTTTCGAGGTACCTGTCTCCCCTTTGAATTCAGAGCTTAAAAAGTCAACTTTTATCTGTGTATCTGTGTAGAGCTTACGTGGAATACTCGGAGGTGATTCTTTTCGACTTGTTCAAACAATTCCTCGGCCCCGGGCCAGTCTATGTTACACTTGGTAACCATGATAGTTACAATATGTCAGTTTGTTGTATACTTCACCGCTGCCATTGCTCATCCACGCATGCAGGGGTCAAGCAGCACCATATTCTATGGGCGGCGAGTTGGCCCAGCAATACGACTGGTGTGTTCTACATGTCCCCTGGTTTTCCCCCGACTTCAGTCCCTATCACGCGTCTTTATCACAGGCTTTACGATCATGTATCAGCCCTGTGGAAACATCAACATTGGCTTCCGCAGTCTGCTGTCGAACTAGCCCGTGCGCATTATGCAGCATACATGGTCAAACGTACAGATGGACTCAGGATTATTTCCATGAACACCAATCTATGTAAGCATCTACTGCGATGAGATGAAATCAGTACTTATTTGAAATTATCATAGGGTATGAGTAAGTTGATGTCCATATTGTTCTGATGCAGATGTTCATAATCGCTTAATAAGAGAGAACTACTTCAACTTTGTCAACGCAACCAATCCAGACGTATCTGGAATGATGAGGTTCTTGACAGATGAATTACAAGATGCAGAGGATGCAGGCGACCGTGGTATGTGTTCATTTGTATTCAAAGTAGGGTATATCAATGACACTAAGCACTCTACTAGTCTGGATAATTGGTCATGTTATCAGTGGATGGGACGGCACCAACCCTCTTTTAAACCCAACTAATCTTTGTAAGTTATTATTGACTATTTCCCGACCCTAATTGACGCAAACACCCACGCCAGTCTACCAAATGTAAGTTCTACTTTTTCTTTGATATCCAAGTCCTTATTCGAACAAACCAGTGTTGATCGATTCTCTCCTCACGTCATTGCTAGTAAGTTCGTATCCCCTCCTTCGTTGTTTAAGAAGGCTGACACTTCGGAAGATATTTTCTGGGGGCATACCCACGAGGACCAGTTTTCGGTTAGCATTCTTCAGCGCTACTCAAAGAAAACCATACTTTTATACTCTTCTGTTATCTGCCAGATTTATTATACTAACAACGGTACGGTGATGAATACCGATACTGCACAAACGATGGCATGGGTGAGTCTTAGTGCTTGGAGGTGAATTATAACTTCACAAGGCAAGTAAGATTGGGCCCTCGGTCACACCTCTGACCAACTTGAACTCGGGGTTCCGTGTTTACGAAGTAGACTCGGCGGTACGTGGGTCCGATTACTGTATGCCATCGACGAGAACTAATGGTGATGCAGACTTTCGAAGTCGTTGACGCCCATACGTAGGCTTTCCTCTGCGTTCTTTTCCAAAATACTCATGTTGCTCCCAAAGCTGGATGAGTTCTGTGGATCTCTTCCCCGAGCTCGACTCCCAGACGGAGTATGGCCCGACATATCAGTACGAGTACAACACTCGTGAGACTTATGGAACCAATATAACATGGGGTGAAAACGACCCTTTGAATGCGACTTGGTGGCATCTTGTCACTGAAGGTACGTGGTGGGATATATAAATACGATCATTATTTGTTGTCTTATACAAGCTGTCTTATCAGAGATGGAGAGTAATCCGTCCCTCGTGCAGGTAAGTCCCACTGTAAAGATCTATGGGCATCATGTTCATCCTCTTTAAAGACCTTCACCCACTATCAAGGCAAGAGTTCCATTCGCAGTCCTGCCTGTGATGGGGACTGTATACCTGCGAAGATCTGTTATATGCGAAGTGGTTCGGCCAGCATTGCGCAGCAGAATTGTATTCAAGGTTACGGTTCTGTGCAGTAAAGTGGAGCATCAAAATAACAAATCGACAGCAATATTTCTTCTGGATTTCCATGGTTTGATAGTAGATGGAATAGTAACAAATAGATTGTGTTGCGGCTAATAGGCAGTTGTTTTCATTTGCTTTAATCCATATTCGTCAAATCAAGCTTTAAGAATACTTCATACAAATGTTAGGACCCAAAATCTTCTGTTGGACACATTATCATGGATCCAGAGTTGCAGAAATTTGGAGTGAGCTGTATCAGCCCGTGCGCCTGGAACAACATCAGCATTAATACTTACAAAGACTCTACCCTTATTCTCGGTAGTAGATCTAGGTCACACACCATGTATACCTTAATGCTCTGTTGTTATACGTTGCAGTATTCCTGGTCCCGTAGGTCTGTTTTTCTGACAGAAGACTCGGACTTCCTCATCCGGGTTACACTTGTTTGTCTCCCCTCCTGTTTGTGCATCGTTCAGAGTTTCATGCTCTTCTTCCATTGTGCCCTATATCAATTCGTCGACGTGTTTTCAGCTCAAGTTCAATGTCGCTTTTGCGCTCAACAGCCGGACTTAAATCTTCAAAACCTGACCAATTCACTACACAACTGAGACATAGGGAGAGATTACCACTACTCGACGCATACTACCGCACAAAATGTCCTGTAGATCAAGATACTTAGCGTGCTCAGTAACACTTGTGTTGTGTATACGAACGGAACGAGTCCAGTCATCGGCAAAGGCTGCGAGGGGACCGGGTCTAACCGGAGGGACATGCTATTCAGGTGAAAGTCTCTATTATTCAAGCTCCTGGCGCTCCTACTGGCATCGAAAGGCCGACCTCCGCAACGTTTCTCTGTCATACACTCACGAGTAGACTGCGGTGGGGTAACGTGTAAACATGAGGGAATAAAACCCTGGTTAACTGTCGATGTCTTGTAGCCGCGAAATGCAGGGTCCAGGTAGGAGTAATAGTGGGTCGAGAATGATGCATTAATGATTGGCCTGAGCATGTTTTAGACTTATCTCCTTGAGATCGCCAGGGGACTGCGGCTGCAGTAAACTCGTCTCTTTATTTTCTGACACTTACAGGACGCGTTTCTCTACACACAACCATGAGTCTTACATTAGGCGATAAACTCAAGCTACTCCCGACAGTGGTGGCAGTTGGTGAGTTCATATACTCAAGTCCTCGTCTATACTTGATTCTGAATATGATATTATGGTCGCGTAGGCTTCACGCTGCTCTATAAATTCATCTTTGGCCCTCTTCGCGGTACAAACGGAGCAAAAACCTTTGATCGCGAAGTGTCAAACGCAGTTACACGCACTTTGACAAACTGGCTCAACGTCCGTCAGCTACAGCACATACGCGGTTCGTCAACAGCTGCTTGGGAGAAATGGATATCCACACAACCGGCCGAAGTGGAGCACTCAACCGAGTTGGTTGGTGAGGGAGCCAAGTTGCACTGGATAGGAAGTAAGAAAGCCACCAAGATATTGCTCCATCTTCATGGTAAGGACCTCCTTCCCATTGTATCAAAAATGCAAGTCTTACATATTATATAGGTGGAGGATACATCCTCCCTCTTTCAGTCGGTCACATGAAACTTACGAGCTACCTACGTGATGGTGTCAAGGTCGCAAATGGAACTGATATATCTGTGGTTATATTTGAGTATAGTAAGTGATAGCTTCCAGCACCAACGCGACCATGCTCATGTTTCCCTTTCGATTTGTATTAGCGCGTGCACCGCAGGCACCGTATCCTACTCAATTCCGCCAGTTCAACGCTGCTTTGAAGCATCTTGTCGAGTCTGGCATCTCGCCGTCTAACATCGTCATATCTGGTGACTCTGCTGGCGCTCATATTGCTCTGTGTGTCATTTCTCATCTCTTACACCCTCACCCCATGGTCGACCCTCCGCCCGTACTCTCATCTCCTCTTGCCGGTCTGCTCTTGATTTCTCCTCGAACCACGAATGCCCTCGTTTCACAATCTTTCACGGAGAATACCAATAACGATACTTTGAGTAAAGAGACGTTAAACCTTTGGATATCCACTTTCAGAGCTAACAGCCATATCGCTGATGATGAGGGACTTGAGAAAGACGGCTTCTACACGGAACCCTTGCGTGCGCCTCAAGAATGGTGGGATGGTCTGGCTACCAAGGTCGCAAACAAGGTCTTCATATCCGCGGGTGGACATGAGTGCTTTAAGGACGACATCATCGCCTTTTCTGAGAAATGGAAACAGTGCTCAGGTTTGGATGTCACTCGTGTGGTTGAAGAACGAGGCATTCACGATTCACCCCTCATGGACACTGATGCTGGGAGACCTCCTACCGATCTGATGAAGGCAATCGTGAGATGGCTCGCCGATATCGCCAGACCATGAGTATGAAAACAACAGCTCTCCAACGATTCCAAGGCCTCTATTTCTATCGGAATTTAAAGCTATCATATTTCCTTTCGTGTTATATATGTTATGATCGCTTCAATCTTGTATTTATCTTCCTTGTTGACCTAATTCAATATATAGATGATAGTCGATCGATTTCTGAGCTTGCTTCATCATAACTGCCATTCAGCAAGTGTCCCCATCACGTAGACTGCAGTGTAGAATACTACAAGATTCCCCCGGCCGTGCCTTTTTCAAAGTAAATAGTCCCATAATCTGTCAGACGATACTGAATGGCATTACTGCGTGGGACAGGCAAAAGCTTTGATTTGCTTGTAGCTACTCCAGGATGAAATGCGACCTGAAATGATTGTCGTCCAGTGAGCCAAGTCAAATTGATTAGATATCCGACTCACCTCTCCACTGACAGCTCCACTGCGTCCACTCGATAACGGTCTCACTTCAGCATGATATGTGCACGTCTGAAGCATATGTGCAAATACAGTATTAGGTTCAGAGAGGTTCAGTATGTGGTGCCGTACGACTAAAGTTGCATTCGCCTTAGTACAGCAAGTGAAGATCAATAAGACAGTCAGACAACGAAGATAGAAAATGCCACCTTTAGACAAAGGGCTCGCAAAGCACGGGAGAACCGTATTAGTTCAATAGGAGACACCCCAATCCATTCAAGGGTCGCGATGTCGTCGAGGATGACTAGTACTTCTGACTGTTCTCCATCTGACGGATGAACAACTGGGTAAAGCAAGTCATATATGGGCCGCAATCGCACAGCATTTGAACTGTCAATGTCACCACTAAGGTCCCCGAAGATAGCTGCAATGTCTATGAAGCTGATGATCCCGGATGCTATGAGCTGAGGAAAATTCAGGTTCTTCAAGAACAGATAGGGAATCAGATCCTTCAGGAAATTCGTAAAGGGACATTACACACTGCTTTTGAAGATGTAGCCTTCCATCTAGAAATGTCCTCTGATACCGATAGGATCACGCATTTGCAGTTTCGCGATTCTCGCAGGTGCGTACTAAGGAACCGATGTAGCAAAAAGTCGGCGGGAGCACCAAGATGATCAGAAACGAGGACAAAATGACCAGAAGCGAGCAATCCAGCCGGGGGGAACATGTTGTGAATACGGAATGGATGGATGTGTCATGAGATGCATGAGATCTGCACGAGACCCGGATAGGGTTAGACTAAGCTTAAGTCCCGCATCAGAATATCACTCACTGCACTTTGCCCAAAATAAATAAATGACTACCTTGAACTTTTCCTGGGTAATGCACGAGTAATCTTAAGAGAAACATAAACATCTACATTGTGTTCACATTTTTATCCATTCAAGGTTGTACCCACAAGTTGCACACATTCATCTTCGTTTGTAGCGAAGAAAGCAGTAGAAATAGCAAGATCAAGAATATAGTCCGTGCCGTCATTAGTAAGTAATCCAAGTGAAAAGTGTTTCAAAAATGTCCGTAAAGTGTCCATGAAGTGTCCGTAACGTGGCTAAAGTTGCTTTTTCAGCAAGCTGCTGGGTGATATCCGCTGGTAGCAGCGTAAGACAAGTAATCAGCAAGGTTATCATACGGAATCTCTTTCGTATCGCAGAAACCCGTCCAAGCACTGATGATACCCCAGAAGTTGGAGACGTAGTCGGTTCTAAATGGCAGACCTCAGGACTGTAAACTGGCGGAAAAGTGAAGGATACTTACGAAGTAGGGTAGGGTCCGTTGTTGTTACTCTTTCCTGGGGTCTCAGCGCCGAATGGGCCTCCCAAGTCAATCCAAGTGCCAGTCTGTACGAATGAAACGCGGTTAGTAAAGCACGTGGAATTTCTCTGGGGTGAGTGACGTACGAGAGCACCGTAGTATGCGTCGATCACGTTTTGCTCAGACATGGTCTGGGCACCCCCTGTTATGTTGTAAAATACCTAGGAATGACTCAATATTGCTCTTGAAGAAAAAAGACAGACCGTGTCACTTACAGCTTGAGAGAGACGTGCCTCAGACGCCGTCGTCGGGTGGTCTGAAACATAAGATGGGTACAAGTGCTGAAGCAACACATCCGTGGAGGCTTCAGCGTAGCAGAAGCTGGAGAGGACACAGTACTCGTTCTGGAAGAGACCATCGGCGACCCAGAAAACACATTCGCTTGCTACTTCGCTGCAGCTACCGTTGTCAGTAATGGGCTGGGGAACACATGGCAGTGTCTCGTTTGCTATAGTCGCATTGCAAGAAGCCACAGCGGGACAGACGCCTGGGACGGATGAATATTCGAGCCAATCCTAACGATACACGAAATTCAGCGACTGAAATGAATAAAGCAATTGAAGAAAAGAAAGTAGCAAAACTTACAGCAAAGTTAGAATAGGGTACGTTGAGAGTGTCGCAATAGCCAGTCCACGCTGCAATGTTCTCCCAGTGCGCAATCACGTCATCAACACTGGTCGACTAAGTCAGTGTGCGTAACGCAGGGAGTGACGCGAGGAACTTACGTCGATGGGTATGTGCCGTTCGGAGTTATCGAGATCTGACCATAGTATGCATCGATGAATGCCTGTTGACTCATGTAATCTTGGCCGCCAGACATTGTCATGAAGAACTAATGAAGATAAGAAGACATTCAGCAAGTTGAGTGCCAGACCAAAGGCCTCCGATAAGACTCACGCTCTCATTCATACGCGGCTGATCGGCAGGGGCGCCATTCTGAAAAAGGACAGCAGAGGGAACTTGTGGAGGTGCCGAGCAAACGGTAAAAAGAACGCATGCAGTGTCGTTGTAGAAATGGGATAAATCGGTGACGTTGGCGTTGCAGGCGTTTTTGAGTGACTGACAACTGTCTGTGTCGGATGCGTCCCGAGGAAGCACGAAGGGCGAAGCATTAGTGGTAGCAATTAGGAAAGTAAAAACGGAGAGCATCGAAGTGAACATCGTGAAATCGAAGGACAGTGTGGACGAAGACCTAGAAAAGATGTCGAGGAAAGCCAAGTCCAAATAACCGCGAAATTAGCCTAGAGGATGCTAAGACGAGATGGGCTTTAGGAACGTACTAAGCTGGCTTTTATACCCTATTTTCCTACCACATGGACGACATTGCACGGACGAAATATGCCGCTGTCGATACATACGATGATGACGGTGTCTGATCAAACTATGCATTCACGAGGGTCTTGGAGGCTGTCCAGCGGTGAGTCTTGCCCGCAATAACGTTTGGAATGAAAGATGCAGGGGGTTGCATGCGTTGCACTTGACCACTTCTTGTCCGATGGCAGTGCATAACGACTTGCTTTAGGGACTGGCTCGCCGACAGTCACGGTGAAATGGATCCGTGCAAGATCCGTGTGCAACTTTTACGGCAAGCAAGAAACATGGAAGACCCCGGTGGCCCGAGGCAAACCAACATGCCGCAGTGGAAACATTGTAGCAGACGTCTAGGACTGTTAGGCAAATGGTATGGTCTACACTACCGGACAACTAATGAAACATCAAGTACAAAAAAATAGAGTCCTAGACTTGTCGTCTCTACCCAGAAATCATTTGCCTAGTAATTACAGGCTAAGCGAGTCATCACGGGCACGTCGTCGAGCAGCGTCGAACTCCTTGTCACTGCATTCTTGACATATCAAGGCCGGTGCCTGTGTTGCTTCGTAAATTATGAGGCCTTTTCATGCTAAAGGAGCTAGAGTTTAGTCATGTGTGACCGGGGTCGTCATATCAGAAGTCTTGCAGTCGGGTTGGTGTGCCACACGATAAGGCCCAGCCCAGGAGCCTGAGTGCTGGTAAAGAGATGCGAGACTGGTACGAGTGTGTGCACATGAATGTGATATCACCTTAGAAATTTTTAGACTACACGAGAAAGCCTCAAATATATTACTTAGCTGATTTGAATTCGAAGGGAAAAGCAACTTGGGCTCACAAGTTTTGCGTCAGTACACACCATAATATTCGATTGAATTGATATACCGCTGCTAACTCCATGGCTGTCACCAACCAGTGCAAGCAGTTAATGACTGCTGGCGATGATTACGCCGCAAGAGTCCGAAGCTAAGGGGCTACACAGGTAAACAGTCGATAGCTCGATGGAGCTGTATATCTTAGAGTATAAAACTTCATGAGCTCGCAAATTTTATGTGACATTGACAGGTAGGATGAAACAACACACCATATGCAGTTGGAAGCCCCATGTGTTGGTTGGGGATATGTTACTATGAACACGAAACCAATACTCTGATCATGACAGCGATGGGCTTGACTTCTGTCAAAGTGACGATACAATGAGAGTTGGTCATGGGTTGGTCGTGAGTTTGGATATGGTTCATCCTTTCTAGACAGTCAGAAACAATTACAAACCGCATTGTCAAAAACTCATGACACATTGACATATCAATTGAGTACATACATACTGAATGGAATAATTAGTACAGTCCACTTAGACTATGACATATATGTGAGAGGCCGTAAATTGCGTAGCACCATAGTATATTGTCACAAGCTTAATTTCAAATTTAGGTTCAAGTAGATAGCCCGCTTGGATGCCTGGAGGATCGAATGACGTGACTTTCATATACTGCGGGATAGCATCAACTTGTCAGTCTTAGTCGCGTTGTCTATTGCGTTTACGATAGAAAAATACCGAGAGTATATCAATATATTTGAACGACAGCTTGAAGGGGACCCTTGAAATCCAAACAAGAAAACCTACTTTATGACTAAAGTGGCGTTCAGTTCTAGCACGATTGATACAATAGCATAAGGTACGTACTGTCATCGGGATGACAATTCGCTATCATATCGTCCAGTGTTTGATACAGATCCCCTACAGCGTTGGACATAGAATTGACCTTCCCTAGGCCTAGCGTGAGAGCTGTCTAGAGCCAAGAAAACGGCAAGGAGTCTACTAGCGAGTAAGTAGCAGGCACTGTCGATATCCTGATGCGGTATTTGCCTTTATTTTTTTGGCGTGTCTGTCATCCTCTGTTGTTCCGATACTTGGTCCTGGACTCGTGACTGTTGAAAACCGACCCTTGGGCCTTGTCTGGGTCGAACATACCAGAGGGGTATCTGGGAAACACGGCGGTCCGGCAGGCAAGAAAAGGAAAGGCGACATGTCAGCTGAATTTCGCGCACCGGATGGAAGTCTTGCACATTAAATGGAGGTCTGGATGCGATTGAATGTGATATTTCGACACACCCAGTTCTAAACTTGGAGACGCTTTGGAGACACGCCAGGTGGCAGCCGAACATGAACGAAAACCCATAAAACCTGTTCAGGAGGTACATGGGAGTCTTAACATTACGGCGGCCTTGGTACATTTCGTGTGCTGAAACTGAGTATTGAGCCAGAATAAGTGAGTGCAAAACACACTACAAAGTACGACGAGAGAAAGCGAAGTCCGGAACGCCGCATATAGCCGAGCACGTGTGCGATATCTTGCGCATTTACCCAAGCAAGTTTTCAAGATTGCTAGTAACCCTCCTCTTTACTCTCCACCATCTTCCCAGTCGTCCATCATGAAAGCTGTCGTACTTGGTGCCGCAGGTAAAATACATCAGTCATCTTACCAAGGCCACTCAGTGATAGTTGTATAGGTGGTATCGGTCAGCCCTTATCTCTTCTCTTGAAATCAAACCCGCTCGTAACAGAGGCAAGCGAGATCTGAATGCATCTCTTATTGAGCGGTTTAATAATTTGATTTAGTTGGGCTTGTATGATATCGTTAACGCTCCTGGGGTTGCCGTTGATCTGTCACACATCGCTACCCCCGCCAAAGTCGAAGGTTACTTACCTCCGGATGATGGCCTGAAGAAGGCACTGACCGGTGCCAATATCATTGTGATCCCAGCTGGGATACCCAGAAAACCTGGAGTGAGTACGGTATTTTTCTGTCTTAATTGATAAGCTCATCCGATATGGCCATCTGGTTAGATGACACGGTAAGGCGTTTCCTCATCGATTTATTTATTGACTGATTGTCGGGATGCTCTGCTAGTGATGATCTGTTCAAGGTGAATCCTGTTTTTTCATTTGAATAGAAACCAATCACTTACGATATTTAGATCAATGCTGGCATAGTCCGTGACCTTGCCGTTGGAATCGCAACGCATGCACCTAAAGCTTTTGTGCTCGTCATCTCCAACCCTGTTAACTCCACGGTTCCCATCGTCGCCGAGGTCTTCAAAAAGAAGGGCGTATTTGATCCCAAGAGGTTAGTAAAAAATTACTACGTCTATTGCATGATGCATATAGTTATCTTATTGTAGGATCTTCGGAGTGACCACTTTGGATGTCGTTCGTGCATCGACTTTCGTCTCGGAAATCATCGGGGACCGTTCGTTGTCCACTTCCGTTACCGTCCCTGTCGTCGGAGGCCACAGTGGCGTAACTGTGCGTACTTGATTGGCTTCCTCTAGGACTGAAGCTGATATCTAGCATGTCCGATATATACGTATAGATCGTGCCCCTTCTTTCCCAATCTTCCCACCCTATTCCCTCTAGCGTTGCTTCCTCCGACATCGACGCATTAATCAACCGTATTCAATTTGGTGGTGACGAGGTCGTTAAGGCTAAGGATGGTGCTGGATCTGCCACCCTTTCTATGGCTTTCGCCGGTGCCGAATTTGCTGGCAAGGTCATCAGGGCACTGAATGGCGAAAAAGGCATCGTGGCTCCGAGCTACGTTAACCTTGCTGCTGACAAAACTGGTGGAGAAGCGCTCAAGAAAGAAATCGGCAAAGACCTTGAATACTTCTCAGCACCTGTTGAACTCGGCGTGCGTGTTTTTCCCAAATTCGACTTCTATAGTTCTTGTGTTGATCATACTCACTTTCAGACTGAGGGTGTCGTAAAGATCCGATCTCTTGGAAAGATCACTGAAGCTGAGCAGGTTCTTGTTAAAGCTGCCGTTCCCGACCTTGTAAGCAACATCGACAAGGTAAGTCTGAAGTTCCTGCTGGATATATCACGTGATCAGCATCTTACCTTTTAATTTTCACAGGGCGTCTCATTTGTAGAAGCAGCGAAACTCTGATTTATTGGCAGAGCGAATGTACGATTGAGGATTCAAACAAACAAATGTGTTATATTCGTTTGTACAATTGTGGTTTCAAGTTTTATAACTGCAAATACCGATTTAGAGGTCGCTTACGTATACTAAGGCCAGGAACGAAATTTATATTTCTAACATGTCAAACCTTACTTACGCCTAAGTACCGTGCGCAAGAGGAGCGGCATTTATGTGTGATCCTTCGTGATGCCGACAGCTCTCGACTTACCTGGAAGAAACAAGAAGGTTTCCCAGTCAGGTATGGAGATATTAGGGTCCTGACTAGACCAAACTTAGGGCGGGCAGTTACAACGTTTACACATCGGCCACCCACCAAAGATAGTTTGCATAGCTACTGGTGCTAAGCAGTCGGAGACTCCAACGTACTACTACATAGGAGGGCTTCATCGCGAAATTGGCGGACTAAATATGTCGCCAAGGCTCGCTGGTGCCAATATACTTAACAGCTCAATTGATTCCCTTCACACGTAACTAGCACTAGTATGGTTCGACCTGGCCCTCTTTTATATTTATACTCATGCCCCTCGGTCAATTCTCATTCCAAAGGCCCAGGACTCATCACATATGGCGAACATGATTGATTTTGCTAGTTGTTTGGCGAGTTGGAATGTCACGACGGTGAGCTAGTCCAACCATACTAGTGTGATTTATTCTTCACTGAATCATTTATGTAGGAAATCACTAGTCAGTGTAGTTTCTATTTTTTCGAATATCTTTTTAGCTTATAAGTAGGCCAAAATGCACAGTCGCTAGCAGTGCACTTTTTGTGAGTGTTATAGTTCCGGCGATGCTGACGTCCGTTTGACCACTGATGCAAGTATTGATGCGGCTCACTATAGTTTTATGACTATTGTTTAACATTTGGCGAAGAGGTTGGTACCCTACGTTTCCCTGATAGGGCCCCTTTTGTTTGTAATTGATTTTACGAATTGTGTCTTACAGGCACAGTTCATACGGAGAACACCAAAACGATTTACGATCACTTGCGCTGTTTTCCTTTTAACTCGATACTGTGGCTTCGCAAACGCATTGGTTTCTGTGTTACCAGTGAGCATGGTTTGTCTCATAAGCAGGCCATTCAATCATGCTACATTTACAGCCGCCACTAGTGTCGCCCCTTGTCTTTGCGAGTGAGTTGATAGCATCTCTGATCTCGCAATAGACATAAACTTGGTCTTAGTTTTGCGCCTCGTTACGATCACCGCGTCCGGTGGTAAGCACTGAATTTACCATCGTCACCGCCTAGTCCATGATATGTATATATCACAGGGATTCTTGCTGTCCGCACTTGGGCAGTCTGGAAAAAGGATCGCAAACTCAAGTATTTCTTGATATCTCTTCTTGTGGTTGGTATTTCGACTATATATTATATATTCAGGGATTAATCAAATAACCTCAGGTTAGCTCGATTCCAGGAATAATTCTTATTGAGAAAACTACCGTAGCTCGTGATTACCTATCATTCCTCTTGATCAGATCTTTCCCATAGTGTTCTGAACGAATACTGCTTTTACAGTCAATCCTAACCTGGCGCTCGCGGGGCTCTGCGGACAAGTTATTTCTTTTGCAAACTTGTGGGTTCTACCTTTCGTGTTGATCGTCGTTTTTGAGATCGGTGAGTGCACTTAACGGACTTGTTATTGGCTCTTTTGTTCTATGGAGCTAGCTAACATTCCTCCTAGTCGTGCTTTGCCTTACGCTCTATAAAGTGCTCGGTTGGTATCGTGGTATGGTACCAAGTGCCAGATCTCCTCTACTAGATATACTTTGGCAAGATGGCAAGTTCATTTTCTAATACATAGGGACGCTGTGCTGACAGATTTGCGTCATATTAGGCATAATGTACTTTATAGTACTACTAGGTATGTTTTTTTGCATCAGGTCACCTGCAAACGAAAGCGCGACTTATATCACTCTTAGCGACCAGCTTGATAAATATTTTCCTCATTCTGGAACAACCAGTCAGTATTTCTTTACATATCATGCCTGGTACTGTACACTTACATTTATTATGGAAACAAAGACACCGCAAATTGGAATTGCTTCAATGGAGTGAGTTAGAGTCTCCAAATATACTTCTAGTATTCTGACTTCTTCCGTTGGACCAGCCTACAAACATGCTTGCACAGTATGTTGTCGACGAGGAGTGTGTTACATCTCGCGTCGTTGAACCCCAATGTGGAAGACATCAGTTCTATTCACACTTGTGCTACTACCGCAAATTTTACGACAAATATAGACTTTGTTGAGGTCGGGGCGCAGGGGCAGAGCGAAAGTGACATGAGTAATCACGTAGAGATGTTACCCCAGTGCTAGTATTGGGTGTAGATTTGTGTGCTACTTTGAGGGCGGTTGCCGGGATTTATGAGAAAACGAGCCCACTGTACAACATTTTTACTGATGATAGCGCTTGTAATTGGCATTTTGGCATTTGGGTCAGCGTCAACCTGCGACTTCAGAATTGTCCGATTTAAGAAGATACAGAGCCCCTATTTGCTTCAAGTTTTGTTCGTTGATAGGCTATGTCACCTCTAATTCTGCCGAAATTGTAGTGCTGTAATTGACTTTGAAGTCTAACTCATCGGCGTGCCTCTCTGAGTCCGGTGACCACGAGCCTGAGAGATTTGGACACGGTACACAGGGCCTTCCTCTTCGAAATTTCACATCAATGTGAAACCGATGGTACCGTCTTACAGTTTTTGTTGGGTAAGTTACAACCGGCTTATACCCCTGTGGCTGTACATACGCGGTTTGGCTAACCGCCGGGTGCATTCCCTGTCCTGTGATGCCAGAGAATAAGAAAGAGTAGCTATGGCTTTAACGAGGATATGTAGATCTGTATCTATAATCTCGGTGATCTCTATTATCAAGCGATATTCACGGTATTCTTCTGGAGGTAATCTTATTATTGTACTCACCAGTTTCAGTTTGTTGCCAATCACTACATAATCTGTTAACACAATCCTAGGACATGGATTTAATGTCCTGCCCTGAAGAACCACATAACCTGTGTGATTTCCATGTTCCCTTAAAGTAGATGGTATTATATATGAAACTGATTTTCATACCGGTACGTTGTACATATCTAAAATCCATTGTAAGCTAATCATAAAATCGTCAGACTAAATCCCTAGAACCTCAATCCCTTTATAAAAGAGCTCCATTCGACACCGTGAATAACTGATATAGTCAAATTCAGGTTCGTTATTACCTTCCACTAGATCATCTCTTGCCTGCACGATGCCCCAGATAGCCCACATACCGTGTGATGCAGCGCTCCATATCTGAACTTGACGATCCAATGTCATGATGGCTTCTTCGCTTACTATTGGTGTGGGCACAGGTGGACAAGAAGAACTGGATGGCAGAGAGTGCGATAAGTATGCACAGTAGAAGTTGCGCCGCTCTTCTAGAGTCGGATAACGGGATGGATCAAGAATGTGTGGAGTGGATGAGTGATAGTCTGCCGTCCACTCATGGAAGTGATTCGCGATGTCGAACGCAAGAGGATTCGGAGAAGCGTACTCGAAATCTACGACGGCAATCTGACAAGCAAAGTCAGTGAGTATACGATGAAAATGTTCATTGAAAATAGTCACCTGCCAATGCTCTGGAGTTCCTTCCTTAAGCTTCTTGGTCAGTTTCAGAAGGTTACCATACTGAGTGTCGTTGTGCGCGAAAACTCGCTTGCTCTTGCCTTCTATCTTTTCCGTCTGTTCTATCCACTTGATGTACTGAGACCATCGCTCGTAAAACAAATCCATGTCGAGTGCTTTACGGTCGATTGGAGAGACAGCCGGCAACGCCAGAACACCACGAGCAGATAACACCCATGAGTTTACATTATCCTTTGCACCTATATGTCTGCTGCTTCCTCCTACATGATTTATAGATGGGGGTTTATACACAGCAGCAATATCCACTGAATGCAACTCTGCCATGCGAGCACCAATCCAACAGCTAATTTGCTTATTTCGCAGGTCCGGCGGAGTAAGTGTCACAGAGTCGAGATATTCCTCCACCCGGCCGTTCTGAAAAGTACCGTATACACGAGCACCAATGCGGTATTCAGACGATAAGACATGAAGGGTATGAAGTTCTCGAGGACGAGAGATGAGCGAACCCGAGGAAGGGCCGTATATCCGTAGCAGAAGAGTGCGAACGGATGGCTCTGATGGACAAGAGACGAAATACACAGCATTTGTCAGAGAGCCGGACACCTTGAAGATTTTTACAGCCGATGCTGGTATTTCAATCTTTGACCATGAAGGGATGCCCAGTGCAACGAGTATCGCAAGTAGTTGAGTGGCAAAGTTAGAGGATTTATATAGTCTAAAAAAAACAAAACAGTCAGAGCCAGTAAAGACAGTATTGGAAAACTACAGCAGACAGCGATTGGACTGATCTGTGCATAAATATACTACTCCACAATCCACAAAGTAGATCCAATTCATGGGAGGAAGATCACAGTGAGTCCTTACCTTGCATCTAGTTTCGCATTTACATGACGCAGACCTTTCACACCAAGAAAGGTGCTTTCTCCATTTACACGAGATGGGACGTCAGCAGAAAGACCAAACTGAGGCTCAGGGTCCGCCAGTAAACTGCTGAAAGAGGTCGAAGTCGACTGCACAGAAAGACTTGGAGAGGGGGATACAGATGGCATCCTCAATGTTTCCAGAGATATGCTTGCGCAGGGGCTTATAAGTAATTCTGGTGATAGCTGGGACATAGAAAACGAGGTCACAAGAGCAAAAAGGAGAGATAAGAACGAGGAAAACACGCATATGCGGTGCGTGATAGACTCGGTGCCAGTCTCTCGGACCGCTAGGCGAGATAGCGTTTAAATATCGCTTAATATTTTGTTCTCCGCGATCTATCGCCCAATGAGAGCAGAAATATAAGTTCAGTGCCTATCAATCCTATCAATATGCAATAATCTACCAAATTGTAGACTGATAGACACCATGGCCCTCCAGGGAAGACCAGGACCCATCAGCAAAAGAACCCAAACGTGACGAGCCGTGACGGTTAAGTACCGACGTATATAGTGTTGATGCAACCAAATAAGGTAGTGCCACATTGATGTTGCGATCAAGATGGAGTGATCATCGAGCACTATTGAGTGTCTGGATAGTGTCGGGCTGGTCGTCTCTTCACAGCTGTAGGGGGTGAAATATCATGTAATGTATCTATTGTTCTTTCATAGTAATCAATTATATTGCCAGTATTAAACCGAGATAGAAAAGTGGAGAAAAGGCTGGATACAAAGATACAGGAAGGCAGAAAAGATACCTCGGCACAGCGAACGAGTACTCTACAGTGGTGCAAAACCCTCTACATCCAACACTTCTTCGTCTCCAAGCTTGTCCTTGCCATAACACTCCTGTGCTCCCTCATCTTCTATAACCTCAGCCTCTTCCTTGTCGTTCTCTCCCTCCAACTCTTGCTCCTCATCACTCTCTTCTTCGGTGTCCCAGCCCTCGCTTATCTCTATGCCATCATCACCCTCACCCTCAACCTGTGCTGGCTCGTTCTTGTGGTCTGTTGAACTGTGGGGCTCTTTCTGAAGGAAAGAGTCCCACTCTCTTGTTGCCTTGTGCCCAACACCACCGCCTCGATACCGCATGAACATGTCACAGTCTACAAAACTGTGGGACATATTGGTAGAGTTTCAGTACTAGTAGTTCAAGCAATAAAAATGTACTTACATATTAACATCAAAAAAAGCCCAGTCTTCATTAGTTTCATTTGGTTGTCGTGTGATTGATGGGGGTAAGTATTCATCTGTGCGACCATATGCAAATGCCGGAATGAGATGGATGCCTCGAATCACAACATCGGGATCAAGAAATCCAAATGCGCCAGGTTCAAGCCCATCCATAAAGCCAACTCGGTGCCAACGTTTTGCTGCCCACCCAGTGGGTGTACTTGTGTCGCGTGCAAACCAACGTACCCAAAGTACATCCATTTGCTGCGGCTCCGAGAGTTTGGACTGGCCACTGTGATGTTTGACATTTATGTGGAAAATTTTGATGACCCTAGTGTACCAGTATGGGTGGGGTTCCTCGGTCTCATCTGGGTCTTCATGGGCAAGAACCATAATGTCAGGGTGTGTCCGAGGATTAATTGAGTCTTGTTCACGTCGTAGATCATAAGTGGTATAGTTCAAACGTAGCACTTGGTGCCAGTAGAGTTTGTTCTTGAGGATTTTTACGGTGCCACATTGCTTGTCAGTATAGAAAATCTCATCACCCTTGTATGTTACACCAAGGAGTCGTCCTAGTAAATGGTTTTTCAAGTGTGGTATGAAATCCTAGCAGCACAATCCATCTACTAAGTCCCCAAGCCATTTTGTCAGCCCAACTTTGTCTCGACTTGACTTTGCAATATGGTAGTGCGTTGATGGGTTTGTGTAAGGTAGATTATCATCCAACTGTTGTGTATATTTTTTGTTGGATGTTGTGTTTGTAATGGGTGATATATCTGCTTTGCGCTGTTGGGAAATCTTGGTGAGAAGCCATTTGCGTGCATCTTGATGAGTCATTTGTGAGATGAGATGATGTTTGCTTGTTTGCGGGAACCGTTGTTTGGCACATTGATGTTGTAGTTCACCCTGTTGATAATGGTTTCTATTCAGTAAAACACAGCAAATAACACTTACAAGCTGTGTTGAATAGCTATCTGTTGTTCCAAATTGTCGTATAGTATCTGGGTAGTCACCTAGAGCATGGTACTTGTATGTTGTCAGGTTGAATTTCTTTCGCTTGGGACCAGTGTACTTCGCTCTTGCTGGATCGTCTTGGCCAAGTCCTTGACTTCCCACATTGGCCATCTTGGAAGCAAGGGCAGCAGTTCGTCTCCCACATGCAGCCTCCTCTTGAGGGAGTTCAGTTGTGTCATACAACTCACAAGTGGTTTTCAAGGACTTGTGCACAGCCTGGCTGAGTGTTATAGTTGCATCGTCAAAAAACTTGAGAGTGTCATCAGTATGCAGATGAAGCTTTGCATATGCATGCCAAGTTTCAAGGGCAAATATGAGGTCAAGAATGATTGTGTTGTGGCTCCCAGACAGTAGACCTTGGAATACCGGCATTGCACACTGATATAAAGTAATTAATGCAAGCATCAAACACCTGATGGAGGCCCCACCTAGAGTAAATCTTCGAAATCCCTAGCTGCAAGCTTCTTCATAGCTGATGCATTCTTGTAAAAACGTCGGATAGTGCCTCTACCAAATGTTGGGACTAAACGGTATCTTTTTCATACAATTAGTCAGAAAAATCACAACAAAGGGAAATATATACTGCTTGAGTTCAAACTCATGTAAGAGATTAACTACAAAGAGGTCAAAAAAATTAACCCCAAATTCATAGAGACGCTCTGAGACAGCATTCTTTAAAAAACAACATTCAGTTATCATGAAAGTAAAAGTAAAAAATACTTACTCGAGTTGGAATCACAGAATGTTCACCCAGCACTGATTCTATTCTTTCACTATTTATGGGAATGCCATGCTGAAAGATAAGCTCCTGTGCCAGATTGACCTTGTTGCAGCGCATGTTGTCATCTACTCTTGACTTGCGACGGCAAGTCATATCCTTTTTTTTACCCATTTTGTGAACTTCTGATTTTCTGACATAGCAATGTGGGCATGGGCAATTGCCTAGAAATTTGATGCTTGCAAGTAGTATCCTGAGGACCATATTAGTCAAGCATAGGTAGAAAAAAAGAGACCTTACTTTTCTGGATAGTCTGCCAAATATGTAAAAAATCGAGGAAAAACTCGCTGTGTGATTCCGTCACCACAGCAGATGACAATACCATGCCTATAAGCATGCATGAACTTCTTGTCCATCAGAAGCTCCCATATGGCATGCATTAACTCTCGTTTGCAGATGTTGCAGCTTCACCAAAAAGGGAGATATAGACTTCTTGAATGTCATCCGGCAGCTAAGGCATAAATTTTCAGTACGAGAACTAGACAGCATAAATTTCACATACTGTAGGGATATAAGCCAGATGGTGGCATGCCATAGATGTGGGTTTGCCTCGGGTGTACTTGGACTGATTACCAAGTAACACATAGAACGGCCATATACTTGCATTACCAAAATTTGCAAGATGTGTGGAGTCAGACCACAACATAAGCGAGGCAACTGTGTGTTCAAGTTCGTCCCCAGGCTCTCGTGGTAGATTGTTGACTTCGTTGTAAGCATCAATATATGCATCTGATGAATAAGCTTCAGAATAGAGTCTAACGGTGTGATCTGAATCATCTGATGGTTTCCAGTATCGACGAAAGGGTGTTGTGTGGTAAGTTTTGAAAACCTCGTCCTCAAAAACACCTGAGATTATGTCAACAAGTGAGCGGTGATGAACACCTGGTATTTCAAGTTCTGGCGCATCATCTTCTTGAGCCCATTTTTTCTTTTCTTTTGGCAAGCAAATTTTGACCACTGATTCTTGCCAGCCATTTTCTTCATGAAAGGGATTTTCTCGGTCCTGCAGATATTTGTAAAGGAGTTTATGTTCACGAGTGGGGTTGAAACCATCAAGGTCACTAGGATCAAATAGAGGATCACGAAGATAGGCTGCTAGCCGTGTAAGCTCCGCTGCTGATTTTGTTGATGTCCCTGTGTATTGCCATGCCATGAGAATGCCACAGCTAGGATTTGTGAATGGCAAGAAAAGGTGCTCTGGTGGAATTTCTGATGGCGACAGACCAAAGACCCTTTGCTGAGGCAACACAGCTTGTTCTGTCATGTCTGCTTTGAGGTTTGGAGTATCACATATAGTGTCCAGTGACATGCCACTTTCTGGGGTTGAAGATGGCTGACCTAAGTATACACGATACAGACCCAATGAATCTGGTTTTGTCTCAATATTCTCTGAGGGAATTTCATCCACGTCCTCGCTAGATCTAAGACATTGGGGACTTTGGGAATGTGGAATTTGGTGTTCAGATGTGTGAGGAGAGGGGTGCATATCGTTGGTTTGAGTGTCTTGTCTTCTTCGAGTGACGGTTGGTGGTAAAAAATCAACATATCGTCTTGGTAAGCAAACTGGTCTGCCTGAACAAGTTGTGTGTATAGTCTGGAGCTGCAAACATTATTCAGGTTGTGAGCTATCAGGCTGCCCTTGAACTTGAATATCACTTTGCTAGATAACATACAATTAGTGAGAAAGGTAGCAACACAAGAAAACACAATTAATAACATACCTCTTGGACAGCATGGTGATTGAGTACTAGACTATCTGAAATGATCTCTTCAAATTCTTCAGCTCACTTCAACCTCTTCCTTTCTTTTCTTAGCATTTCCCTCTCTTTATCTTCATCCCGTGAGCGCTTGGTATTGTCATCTAAAATATCACCCAGGACATATTGAGACTTGGCACATTGTTTTGTGTGTAAGTTTAACAGTTTGTTGGTTTTGAATGACTTGCCACAGCCAAAGCAAAATGAAGGCATGGTTTGAGAAAAAATATATATCAGACAATAGCTCTAATCCTAGGCCATAACTGTCACTGGCAGTCATACTGTCTACCAAAAAAATAAGGTTTAAGTTGCTGGTAAATTGCTGATATCGTGTTTAATCCCCGCAGTTGCAAACCCAAAAGACACCACAATCGTTTTCATATCTCTGTTTTGCTATCTTATTGTGTTGCAATACTGAAACATATCCACACAGCAATGAATAGTAGCCCCAGTGATATGGAAGATGACTCTGCCTTAGACCTAAAGCACAACAGGTCTTCCAAAAAAGGAACATCCAAAACACTCCAGGATGGGAAGCAAAGAAAGCTGAAAGAGAAAAAAAAGATTAAGTGAGTTGATATACCCCAAATTAGTATAAGACTGACTTGCAATTACCACCATACAGAGAGGAGCTATATGATCCAAGTGATGGCAAGTCATTAGACCCATTTTGGAATGCGGCTCAATGGATTCCTCGAGATATTGACCTATACTGCAACATCACATCAGACTTTCGTATTGCCATGATCCTCAAGAGCATAGACAAAGAGGATCAGCAAAGGTTAGTATAGAGTTTCTGTGTGTTGCTTGCATATTTGGTCTGATATATATGCATATACTTAGGCTAAAAGACACAGCGGGCTCAAAACAGCCACAGAACAAGCATGTACAGGATTGAGCTGCAATTCGGCAGAGTGTGCTTGACAATATGTGAGTTTTTTCATTTTTCATCTCATGATTACGCATACATCCATACACTTAGGTCCGAGGATGACAAACAACGTGCTGTTTCAAACTTCGACAAGATTGTTGACTTTGTGCCAGAGTTCAAAAAAATGCTGCATAGGAAAAACAAGGATAAACTTGATTTTATTCTTAAAAAGGTGAGTGATTCCTTGCCGACCTTGTATGCACCTGCATTAACACAATTTCATAGATGTATACAATCATGAGGAGTACACGTGCAGATGACAGCAGTCGCCTCAGAAAAGATATACCAAAATATGTGCCACCAGACCCATCCACTATGAGTCTCAACCCGCCAATTCTGACTGGAAGCAAAGAAGATCGTAGTGGGCTCGGATTTGCCCACCCACAGCTTGCGTTGTTGCTTTGTCTTATTATGGCAACCAAGATGAGTAAGTATTTCACGCTTGATTTGGCTCTATTTTTCATGGTATTTTTTAGAACACGCATCAAACTGCTTGATGGACGCATCAGAGTTACAGCCAGCAAGCTCCCCGCATTCATGTATATAGGGTTTGAACCCGCTGAACAGTACAACCCAAATGCTATTCATGAAGGGTTGCTTAAAGGCTATTATGTTCCGCGAGTAAGTATAGTGTTCATATTGATTTTCTCGCATTCTGACTAACATTTTTGTATAGGTTTATAGGCATATCTTTACAGGGCCTGGGACGGCACTCAAGGATTAAACCTCCAAGACAAGTAGAAGCACACGAGCCCATAATGCAAAAATACATGGCTTGTCATGTGCGACACCCAGGACAATCTCTTATGCAATCATACAAGTAAATAATCAACGCTGCATGCTATATACCAACAAATCACTACCACAGGGTCGGCATGCATTAACAAGTCGGGAATCATGGCTTTCTGATGGCATGGACAAGCATTTCAACTACAAGGACTTCTACGACCAAATTAATACATTGTTAGAGGACCCGACTGATCCATGGGCTAAGGATGTATTGACATTCTTTGATCTGTAACACTTTATCCTGTTTTACCTGATTTATTGATGTCCCATTGAGTTCTACCTAGGAATGTTTTCGGCTACTCAAACACTGGAATCAACGACAACCAGTCAGAAAGTGATGATGACATTGCTCAATTCATGACCCAAAGGGCTGCCCGAAGGACTGCCAACTCTAACATAGCCATGGTTGCCAATCCTGCACAGCCTGCTGGAGAGCTCGAAGCTACACCATCAATATAGGTCGCTTACCTCCAGTTCAACACCATATATCCCGCCGGCGAGTCCAGGAATACCCCTAGGCCTAGTTGGTTCGGCTTTCACACCACCACCCAGCTCACCTGCCCAAGGTCCCTCTGACGACTTAGAAGAACCAGCCTGCATGGACAAATATGAATGCGGGCCCTCCAAGGTCATCCCTAGAAAGAGAACTGCAGAGGAGCTGTCTACTATATGTGAAAATGGACCAGGCCCTTCTAGCTCGCAAGTTAATCAAACACACAGCCATGATCAAGCAAGTCGACTCGGACCCCAGTGACTTGTCTAGCCTGAGTGACGACGAAGCATCTGCACCGAAAAAGCAAAAAAGAAAGGGCAAAGAGGTCACTAAAACACAGGCAACAAATTTGAAGGGCAAGAGGCAGCGTCGAAAACAGTCTTAATTTTTGAAGGTCCAGTTATCTTTACTGTCTCGCCTGTTTTTCATGCTGCCTTTGATGTACTGTGTGCTGTGAATGCTAATATATTGTTGTTATTAATTGACACTATGGTCTGAATGACCTACCACAACAGTAAATAACAGTCAGTTGTAATTATCTATCATGCAGACTGATAGAGGCTTCCGGTAGAATTGGTGATATGGTCCCATCATGAAGACAAGTCCAAGTAATAATATACTTGTACTTATCTTCATGATGGAGTCAGTCGACCACGGCTTTGGTGATGGTTTGCTGCAACCGAAACAAATTTGAGGCTTCATAGATAGTGCATGGTCGGCACTCTGATGACACGATGCAGGTGGCGGTGATAGCAGGAGATAGTAATGCCAAGTTTGGCCAGGTCGGGTTTGTGTGCTTTTGCTGATGCCCAACACCTCACACTGTACAGTGCATTATTGAAGATACATTGTTTCATTATCACTGGTACATTAACACTAGCAAAATTACTTATTAAACTTTAGTAAGGTTAGTTACTTCTCAGTGAACAGGGGACAGGTCATCACCCGCCCTGCAGTCACATTCAACATTCCAGCAAAAAAGTAAATGCAAAGGAAATGGTGGAGAAAGACTCAGACACAGAATAAAGTGGGGCACCAAAAAAGAGGCCCACAGTATCTCAACAATAGCCGGTGTTGATGATGAGAACTGCTGTTAGAAAACCACACACAAAAACAAACTAACACACAATCCTCCCAGATTCCACGGAACTTGTTTATGGGCTTTGCCTCCTAGAACAGTGGAGTGGTCTGGTTGTGACCACACTGGATCACAAGTAGCAGTAAGAAGTGGACTTAAGATTAGAGAAGAAGTCTGGAATCGAGTTCTTGTTTTTTTTACAAGGTAAAATACAGGGGTTTATATAGTAAAAGAAAAGTAGGCTATACACAGTATAGCTGTGCAAAAAGAATGAGAAAGAACATGAAGGAAGGAATGTATGCTGACAAATCCTGCATAGGTAGTACAGGATAAGATTGTCAAAAAAAGGAAAAGGAAGGGATAGAACAATGAATGCTGTGAGTAATGTCACAGGTTTGTACAGCCATAAAGTAAAGTCCAATAGCAAAAAGAGAGCAGGAAAATCATGATGTCATGGGAAGATGGAGTAAAAAAAGGGCAAGGCAAAACACTATCAGTATCAACACAGTTCCTTTATTGTCAGTCAGACATTCTAAAAAATATGTGTCCATAAAAATGATTCAAAAATCAAAAATAATTGCACTGTAAATGAATGTTCTGCTGAAAAAAAAGAAACTGGAGCCACCGGTCCACCACCTAGTCCAATTCCGACAGTTCCATGGCCTTACCAATGGACTGGTTGTGTTGGACCACCTGGTCAAACGAGGGAGGGAGAGGAGTAGTCCCAATTTGGAACAAGTGAATCCCAGGCAGCGTGTGGTAGGTGTAGCTGTAGCGAAGACGATGGACAAAAGATATGTGTACCCAAGTGAATGGGACAGCAATGAACATGGGCAACGCAAGGGGATGAACCTTCTCCAGCTCAAAAACTACCCACCCATGCTCCAGCTAGGCAAGACAAGCGGCCGATGTTTTGATAGTATATGATGGTAGATTGATGTCATAAAGATGGACCTGTTGCCCTATTTGAACCGGCCGCCGGGGCTTTGCTGAT